AGCAGCTTGCACTGACTTTTTCCATGGAAAATTATCCAGTGTAAAAGTATGTATACATCCTCAACTGAATGAAACTGCGTACTTCGACCAACACAATAGCAGCATCAGTTTGTTTTCCTCAACACTTACACCTGCTTTGGGGGGTGTAAATACTTAGACATTACTAAACTCATCATTAAAACTAGTGTGTGTGGTGAAACTTGTTTTGATTTATTAAAGCCTAAACCTGAACTTATTAAACACTTACCTTTACAATAAGCCCTTGTTAATCTTACATAGAGCTAGTGCAACAGGCCACAGGCTGCCAAAAAAGCAATTCACCAACCCTGGTCTACAGGGAGGAATTAAAGCAGAGAGAATTTGCTTGACTAGGGTGAAAACATTTTCAAACAAAACTAATAAATCAAAAGCATATGAACGAAGTATTAAAGATCAGACACAATATCAACAACCCATCAGCTATTACAGTACATTTCTTCAGGATGAAGAAATCTAAGACTAATTGTTGCTCGTACTGTATTTCTAATGACCCACAGCCCTAAACTTCTTAAGTGATCTGATAAAGGGTTTCATGGACTGACGCTGAGCCTAATGATAGATAAAAACCACAAAGTCAAGGCTGTAATTAGTCTGAACATGAACAGCAGGGTCTGTGGATAAAAACTAACAATGATGGGGTAGGGAGGGGGGCATTTTGAGTAACACCTAATGCTCTACTCTCCCGTTCTTCACCTTCTACCTCTCCTGTATCCCCCTCTTTTTTCCACTCCTCCTGTTTCTGGGTTTTGTCAGGACTGTCCATGTGTTATGGTTTGAGTCTTGAGCAGAATAACTTCCTCACGCTTAAAGTACCTTACAGTTCATGCTTCTCTTCACACAGCAATATAATCTGTGCCGAACAGACAGACATACCCTCCTCTTTCCTTTAAACTCTCTTTCTCTCTCTCTCTCTCTCTCTCTCTCACACACACACAAACACACACACACACACACACACACACACACACATATGGAACCAATCCTGTATGAGGATGAAGGATGGTGTCACTTAGTATGTGAGGAATCAGTGTAGGCAGTTATGCTAACAGGACAAAATGGTTTAAATGGTCAGATAAGTGACTCATTACAGTTAGTCAGACATTACTCATATTATAGGAATAGCCAAAAAAATCAAATTTACATAATTTTCCCTTTACCTCAGATGCAGTGAATCAGTCAAGGAATGTTTGGTATTTTAAGTTTGCTCCCTTTATTTTCCACTGGATTCCACATGATGTAAACATAGCTAACAAGTTTATACTTCAGAAATTAGCACTGAGGAAACGACAAGCCTAATTCATCACATACTTGCCTCAAACCACATCAAGGTATTAAGTAATCTCAAAAAGATTAGCGTATGGCCTTTCTGACACTGTATGACATACTGTTATCTATAAAAATGGTCAAAATTCAGGTTGGTAGTATTTTAGCATTTTTCTTCATTCAAATTCTGTTCAAAATATCATAAGAATACCAAATCATAAACCCAGTATCATGTATCGAAACATATCATGGGCTGAGTGTATCATTACAGCCCTAACTACTACTATTTTTAGCTATGTTCATTTTTTGTTCATTTCATAGATAACAGAAGACAGTAGAAAATGGTAAATGGACACCAGACATGTCAGCCAAAATAAGATTAGCCAAGATTACTCCTTTAAACTCTGACCAGAAATGTGTAAGCAAGTCAATATTTGGTCTTTGATATGAACTAAAAGACGTTAGTATTGGCATACCGAAGATGTTTCAGTACTGAACGTGAGTGCTGTGGACTGCTAAGTGCTATTTGATAGGAGATGAGTAGCAGGTTGCTGTAATCACAGAGCAGCCTCCGTGGAAGAAGAGTACCTGGAAGTGATTACACCCACTGTGGCCTTTCAAATACTTTCAGGATTCAGTCACTCTGTGTCTTACATCTTTTAAACTCTACTACATAAACATGGATTACTGAGCTATTCCCATCCCCAGAAACAGCTAAAGCACTGCCAACCTGCTATCTGTGTATGTTTCTGTAAGAGAGGGTCACTCTAGTGCTCTTTCTGCTACAGAACCTTTCACACTTTATCCTTTGTCCACATCTTTGGCTCTCTGGATTCAGTCCACAAATTCCTCCTTTTTTCCCCATATATAGATCAGCCACCAGCAGCTGCTTTGGCCCAAGCCCATGCGCACATGGCTTTGATATACTATCCTTCTACTGTTTAAATCTATCAAAGCTTACTGGCATGACTGAGTATCAAACAGATATGTTCTGTGTTCTACATAAGAAACATATTAGACTTTTGAACCTTGAATCCTGCTGAAATGTTTCGTGACATGTTCTATTAGACCAAACGGCACTGTTGACTGGCAATGCCATGTGCATTCATTTGACAGCATCTGGATAACGAAACAAAAAGGCAAGAGAACAAAGTAACAAATGATTGCAACATGGAGACATTTAAATAGTGGAAAGGCAAGGGAATTAATAGAGAACGACGGAAAAAAAAAGAGAAGAAGAAAGCAAGAAAACAGAACTGTAGAAAGCAAGACATAATTATAAGCATTCAATTTCTTCTCAATTACTGGAACCTTAAGAGTAATGCTAGCAGACATTTCAATGGTCAGATATACAGATTCATTTTTTATAATCATAAACAATCACATCATTATAGCAACCTGTGATGTGTGTTAGTGTCAGTGTAAAATAGACAGGCCGATAGGAGAATAAGAGGGGGGAGAGAAGGCTACATAGAGAGAAAAAGCCCAAGCGCACGCCCATTCTGTTTCATGCTGTTACCAATACTCAACTGCAAGCGTCTCATGAATGATCTGTAACTTAAACTGTACTCTAAAAGCTACATTAATGTTACTGTTCATGCAATGAGAACAGCACCAAAGTAGATCAGAATTCCTTCCTTTAAGACATTTTTCCACTAGGCAGTGCAGTATGGTACAGTACGGTTACATTTGGTATTTTCAGTGCCAAGTGATTCATACTGTACCTGAGCAGCCATTCTGAATTTGTTTACCCTTCTTGCTGAAAGCAAGCATGCCAGGCTGGAACGATGGGTGGAGCTTGAAATAGCATAGACTGGTCGTGAAACACATTCGACACCAAATTGGCACATGGGGTCACTCAAGTCAGACAACTTCCATTACTAAAAAAAAACATTAACTAGCCAGAGTCGCTGTGTGCCTCTTCCCATTAAACCTTATGCCGAGTAACAGAACCTCCTCCATTATTGTTGTTTGTGTTTACTGTTGACAGTTTGTTAGTAGTTTTGGATTTAAATCAGCAACTGAACCGCACTGCTCAGTGGAAAAACAACTTTATAGAATGTATCAGAAAGGCAAATAGAATCTAATAGATAAACCTTAGAAAGTCCTTCAATCCAAACAAATCAGAGACAATATCCTTTCTACAACATATTACACATCTACAATCCACTAACTTAGAAACTTAATATCTTCTGACACATTAATTGCACGATTAGTCTGATCTACTGATGATATTTAAAGTTTTTCCATCTATTCTATATTACTGGCTAGAAGTGGGGCCCAGTTTTAAAATCTGCATGCTACTGCCAGTAAGTGATGTGCTATTTCCATGCGCTGATACCGTTGCCAATATGTTATTACAATTAAGCACAAACATAGGCAGAAACAGATCACACAAAATAGACCACATTAGTCTATATAGAGAATTATCAGATTTGCTATAAATTAATATTATTTGCTATAAATTAACAAATATTACTCTCCACACTGCCTGAAGTACCATTAAGGGGAAAAAAAGTTTCCCTTGCACAACCACTTATGTGTCTACTTATCTGGACCATGAGGTCATTTTTCATACTGGCAATCAATCAACCAATAAAAAAAATAAAAGAAAAAAATAATAAAGCAGTATTGACATATTTCAAATACTGATTTTCAAACATTTCCTTCCTTCTTTCTTCAACTGTTCATATATGAATAAAAACATTGTGCATGGTGAATGAAGTGTAATGGATGCAGGGAAGCGAGCGGTGGAAGTAGTAAGGTGTAGTGATGAGAGTAAATGCCACATCATACTTCTGTACATCAGCCAACATGTGTGGGCTTTGTACGTATATGTCCACATAGATGTCTGTCAGCATCACCTGCATGTTGCATGTATGTGTGCCCAGGGGGCAGAGTTTAAACCAGGATGTACAGAACGTGAATGCTGAAGAGCACAATCATGCATTGCACTGTAGAAAACAGAAGAGGACTGGAAGTACTGGATGCAATAAAGAAATTAGTATTTTACAGTATAATCTGTGGCTGTAATAATTTGCTAAATGTGGTTCGGCTTAGGCATTGTTGCTAGGTCTCATTTCGGTCCTAACTTTACCAGAAAGTCAGTTAGTGTTTGCTTGATTTCACTCAACGTGCACTTGGGGTTTTGGAAGCGTGCTTCATGGCCTCTGTAAGCTATGCTTACCCAGAAACCCCTTCTCTGTGTCTCGAAGAAGATATGCTATGTAGATGCATCTTCACAAAAGAAAAAAAAACACCTCAATGGATGTAGTGAATGTAGTTTAGGGCACATAGGATGTTGTGAAGCGTGTAGTGGATGTAGTACATAGTGTAAGTAGTGTAGGGCACGGCTGCAGTGAAGTGACTAGTAATGTACTGCGTAGTGAATGTAGTTAGTGACTGCTTAGTGAATTCGGGATAATGCTTCGCAGATGCAGGGAAGTGCGTAGTGGATGAAATAAACCGATCTGTTCACACGAAAGAGACGCTCTCAAAGTCATTTTACTCCCACTAGAGCGTGTGTTTAAAGAGTGTGAAGGTTTAAGTTTTAAAACACGGATTGCTACTCACGAAGACATTTACTTGCTGCGAGAAGTCATAAGTTATGAAAATACCATGTTAATGGTAATGTTAAAAGTAGAATAATATGAATATTTGGTGTTCATATGGATGAAAGTTTCGATAAAGAAACTCACCGGAGATTTGACACACTTGTCGGTAGTCCTCACAGCAGTCGCCGGTTTTCTCGCAGTACGTGTCGCAGTAACACACCGTCTTCCTCCTGGTGTACTCCACACACTCGTTGTTTCTGCCGGTGCAGCAGGCGAGGGTCTCCCGGTCCGCACAGCCGGCCTCAGCTCTCCGGTAACACACGGCGAACAAACACAACAGAAGGCTGTAGAGAGCCAGCCGGTATCGCCTCCGCTCACAGCCGTCTCCCATGTTTGAAGATTTAGACCAAAAACTTCTGAACTCCTGTGTTCTCAGATAAAGCACGCCTGAGTATTAAAAAGTAGTGATAAAGTTTTTATCTCTGTTCTTTTCTGCTTTTAACACTCGTTTCTCTCAGTAAACATAACGGCCCTTCAGCGTTACCGACTGAGAGCAGAGTCGCTGGAGTTGAACGCACGAGCGCACCGATGCTCAGCGTGTTCGCGCACCTTGCGCTGCGCATGCGCACTTCACGCGCCGCGTTCTGCCTCGGCTGCTGTCATAAACAAGAAGAGGTTCGACTCACACACACGTTACAGTCGACGAAAACAGATACGAAGAGCTTGTATAATATTTGAGGTTACACTGTGGAAAATTGCATTCTAGTTTTCTTACAATGCTCCAGCCTATAAACATTTGGTAAATGCTGCAAAAATTTTTATTTAACTGGACTTTCGGTTTCAACCAGTTACGGTCTCTGAACATTTCATGGCCCTAAGCGACATTCTACATGAGCCCCTCCCTTCGCCAATCACTCATCATTATTATTTACTTAATTATTTTTGATCAGGAGAAAGGTTAAAATAATGCCAATATATATACAGAAGAAAAAATGTCACTTTTTTATTCTACACCATTTGAACAATAGAAATAGTCCACAATTACTTGAAACAAAGTCTCTTTACATTAACTTACATAAAGGTTAAAAAACAAACATTTTGCCTTCTCCTGTAACATTTTAGAGTATTTTTGGATAGTGACCATATATTTGACGTGCTTGCAGGGCCCCCCAGGACCCTATGTGACTGTACCACTTTTAGAAAGGCACTATGGGAATTTGGCATTAAGAAGCAATTTTATTCACATACACTGGTATTGTCATTGTTGTAGATTGTAAAATTAGTTTCTGATGTCAACAAATGTAGTATTGTAAATTATAGATTCGGTCTAGTGGAATGTGAATGAACTGATATTTTAACACAAAAGTCAGAACTCTCTCTCTCCCTCTCTCTCTCTCTCTCTCTCTCTCTCTCTCTCTCTCTCTCTCTCTCTCTCTCTGAAAACTGGCAGACAGTGGCAGCAGACTGAGAGGAGTGTCTGGGACAATAAAATTACTCTCGCCTGAGTACATGTGTATGCTGGCTGCCCTGAACCATAAACAGTTTAGGCCATCCAGTTGCATTCAGAGTGTCCAATAGCACAGGCCACTGTAAAGCACATCTGGGACTCCTGTCAGCTATTTCTGACATTACTGTCACAACAATGCAAGTATTGTTTCTTTGTGCCACGTCTGACCCAGCGGCCTTTTCTTACAGTGTGTAAGAGGCCAAGTCAAAACAGTTTGCTCCTTTATTGAGGGACAACAAGGAGGGCCAAGAATGTAGATATGGCAGAGAAATCAACTTTCTTAAACCATGTGGACACTAACATACAGATGGCAATTTGATAGGCCTCTATGTTAGTATGGCTACTGAATGGCAAAGTTCATTTTCTGTACTTTTGGAGGGCAGTGCTGGATATTTTGGAGTTAGAGTTAACAGAGGGTGAGGACAGAAGGAACAGAAACCAATCCACCCATCTTACAAAGACCTATTGTAATAGAGGCATAAAGAGAAGAGGAATCCCTCAACAGACTGTGTTCCCATGTGTGTGTGTTTGAGGGGTGGGGGTGAGAAAGGAATGGAGGAGAAGCAGAAAGAGGGGTGGAATCTTTCATCTTGAGAATAAGATGAAGAGGGAGGCAGAGAAAGATACGAAAGAAATGAGAGATATACACAAACTTTCCATTCAGGTTCAGAGTAGTGTTTTATCTAAATGGCCAGCAGATGGCGCCAGTGAATCAGTGAAACTGCAGCTTGTTTCTGTCAACACAACCAAGATGGGTAATAATCAGAAAAAGGTTATGCGCGCTCAAACACATCCCAGCTATGTACTTTGATGAAAAGTGATGTGAAAGTTTGGGCTTCTTTCAGGCTCACAGCTTTTGCCTTCCAAATCGTGTCACCAGAAGTGAGCTCCAGGAAACCAGCCCTTTCATCATCCAACATGCAGGAAAAAAGAAAAAAAGATGCTGCATTAATCCACACAACAAGTACTGTGTATAATTTCATGTGATTAAAAATTATTTAGACAATTAATTGACTTACCTTTTCAATTTTCTCACTCCTCACAGTGAGGAAGATAAAGAGGGAGGTAAGGAGTGATTTTAGTGTCATTTAGATTTTTAGATATGTATCAAAGAAAATATGGAAAATCAGTGAAAATACAGATAATTCTATAAAATGTATGTACATTATCTATAAATAAAGAAAGAAATTAATGGAGCCTTGAATGAATCAAGAAACATACCACATGTCATACCACATTTAGAGAATATGTGCAAGGAGACAGTTTTTGCTTGTTTGGTGAATGAGTGACTAAATAAATAAATAAATCTTTTACCTTTTCAGTTTTATCACTCCTCACAGTGTGGGCCCGGAAGTTAGAGTGATTTAGAAAAATAAGTAAATGAAAAAAAATAAATTTATAACTTTAAAATACGTTGTCAATTAGGAGAGAATATGGAAGATCAGTTAAAATACAGCACACAGCACATCTGTAGCACATACTATCTATATATAAATAAAAGGGGGAGAAAAACTAACCATGTCTGACCACTTTATGATAGAATATTGTCTTAGAGTCATTAGATACTAAAACTAACACATTATATTAGCTTTAGCTAAAAATGCTAATAATGCTTACCAATCAGTGAGGACAGTCATTTAATTCACTCGTCCAACATGTAGACAAAAAGAGGAAGACACTATATTAATTTCTCTACAGTGAGAACTGTACATCTTTTTTTTTACATGAAACATAATTATTTTAGACAATTTCTTTACTCACCTTTACACTTTTGTAATTCCTCACACTGTGGAGATCAAGATGGAGGTAAAAAAAAAAGTGCTATTAGTGTCTTTTAGATTTATAGTCATACTCACTACACAGTGAATATAAGGGATGAGTATTAATACAGAGAATTTCTCTAATGTACATTATCTATATATAAAAGAAAAAGAAAAACTAACATGTTAAACCACTATGACAACATAATATCTCAAAGTCACTAGACACTAAAACTAATACAGTGTTATTAGCTTTAGATAAAAATGCTAATAATGCTTACCAGTCTGTGTAGTATCGTTTTGGACAGCTAGACAGCTAGGACGATCATTTATTCGCAAAAACAAACATAACTGAGAGAATGCTAGCTAACTAATACCATCCAGTAATTAATAAATTAATACAGTAGTCAAAAATAGTATAAGTAATAGCAGAAAATCAAACCTTCTGGTGTTCTCAGGCCCAAATCAACATCTTTCATCTTTCAGCCAGGCCTGTGGCAAGTACTTCTACATATTGTGGCATTAAGAGACTAATACTTTGAATTATGCATGTGATCAAATTATTAATACATATGAGTATAAAAATATTCATCTTAACAGTAATGTGCACCATTGGATGTCATAGATGAAAGACAGCTGTTGAGTTTAGATTGTTTTAATAAGTTAAAGATTTTTTTGTTTCTGTTTTACACAATTTAAACTAGTAAAGCAACATCAAAAGCCATATGGGATTAAATCTCCTCCATGTTAGAGAACTTTTCTTTTGATTTTTTTTTTTTTGACATTTTAAAACTAATGTTTACGGTTTAGGTGCAGAAGTGCTAAATATATTAATTACATTAAATATAAAGGAGGCAGTTATTCATCTATTTTGCAATAATTATTTTTAAACCAAATCATGATGTAAACTCATAAGGAACAACCATAAGCTTAAAAGGTACTAATTAATTGTGTGGCTTTATAATTTTCTAATAGTAAATTCATTTAACTGTAACTAAAAGACTAATTCTAAACTTTTAAGTCAAGGTGATTGTTACAATATTAGCAATATTTTTCCTTATAAATTAAGGTAATACATGTAAAATACATTAACAGATTTATGTGAACTTAATGGGTACACTTACTATGACATCTCGCTTATAAAGCCACTAACAAACTTACAAACAATATTTCAATATTAATTTCTCTGAATTTAGCCTAACAAGGTTGGATTTTTAGCGTGCGTGTCAGTGGTGGGCATGAGTGGTGCCAGTTCGGCAGGGGACGCCAGAATCAGTTTATTAGGAGCCTGACCTCTTCCTATTTCCCCCATTATATCAAAAACATGACTGCAAAACGCCAGAGAGCGAGCCCTCAATGAATGAAATGGAGCTAAACAGCTAAAAACGAAAAGTTAAATTAGTTCTTAATCACTTGCCCAGAACTTTCCTTTGCTTTTAGAAAGCAGAAGGATGTATTTCACTAAAAAAAGCAAAGAAAAACCTACTGGTATGTTTCCTTTTTTTCTAGCGAACGGGTTTCTAGCAGCAGAACACTAGCATTACTGCTACTGAGTGCTGATTGGTTGGCGAGTGGAGCAGCTCATTGGCTGTTCGCACTCACTGACATCATGAACGTACATGAGGCACTGTTTTGAACTTCTATAACTCGAGTTTAAAAGCTCTAAAAAGTATAACAACAGTGTTAAAATGTTTTATGCTGTTCTGTGTTCAGGAAATGAATGTATTCTTTCACATTTAAAGTGTTTAAGCATTTAAAAACTGTGATTTTGCTCAAATACTCCAACAAAACTTTTCATTTCAAACTCTCTTGGGAGCTCCCTCTAGCGTTTGAGAAACTGGAAAAATTATAGAGTGGTAATTCTCTTCACTACAAGTTCTAAGAGAATGCGTAAAGTGTCTTTGTTGCGATGTACGCACACACCTTCCGTCCTCATTCACGAGAAATCCAGCCTTAACGCATTCCCGCTATCCACCACATCCATCTTATCAGCAAGTGACACTCACCTGACCCGATCCCCCTCCATTTCAATATCGGCTTTAACCTCGTCCACTTGACCTTGTCACTTCTCTTTGGGTGAATCCCCAGTGCCATCTTAAGGGCTGTTCCATTACTTTATTGGTTCAAGTGAAGGGCGTTAGATGAGCACTCTGAGTGGTGAGGGAATGAGTGAACGCAACTGTTGATTTCAGCAGCACAACTGACCCAGAAATCATTGCGACCTGATTTCCTTCTTCAAACCCGATAATAATGTTGGACAAAGCTGTTTAGCAATAAACTACTTTAAAATGCTTAACATTTCAAAACTATAACATTTGATTTGCTGGGCTTTAAGTTACAAATTACTCTGTCTGTTACTCATGACTGCTACAACTTTATCACTTACTTCTGCTAGCTGGCTCATTAGCATGCTAAAGGCTACATGGCTAACAAGAAAAAGAAGAAGGACATTTCACCACAGCTCTACTAAATTTATAACCAGGCAAAGCAATTACTCACTCAGGAGGATCAGCGGCTTAATGTGTGCATGTGTGTGTGTAAAGATACCCGTCCCTGATAGCAAGAGGATAGTGGGCCACTGTTGGCCTGCTGATCGCAAAGCTGGCAGTCCACTGGCATTTTGCTCAGTTTTTTCCGGGCAGCCCACCGGTTGTTAAGCAGAGTATTAGACAAAATTCCACTTATTATCACTCATTTTTCACTCACAGTCCAATTTACTTATTTTCCCTTCCTAGCTGTCTTTAGTTATACTTCGTAAATTCAGTAAATCATTTTAATGTAGCACAGTGTCAGCAACAACATTTTCAACAAAATCATTTTATATTAGGCCTTCTTTACCTCTTGGTTGTTTGTAATATTTGTCTTAGTTTATTTTCTATAAAAGGCTGCATGAATTTAAAATCTTAGAGCTCAGAGCTTGTGTGCAGGACACTAATCTGGGTGGTCTGAGGGTGGACCAGCAGTGGCAGTGCTGACCATATCAAGCCAACAGACCGATATAAGCTTGCTATCTGCACGGTTTTGTTCTAGCAGTGAGACAATATATATACTTTGCACTCTGTTTGGGAGAGATGTTTGGCCGTTTTTCCTGGCAGATTTGCTCCTTGTTGTGCAATTTGGTTTGATGACGGATCACAGTTTTCAAATAGTGCCACAGATTCTCGAGTGTAATGAGGTCTGAATCTTGACTTAGCCATTGTAGAGCATTCATCTTTTTGTTTTTCAGCCACTCCTTGTGCTTGGGATTGTCCTGCTGAAAGGTGAAATTTCTCCCAAACTTTAGTTTTTTTTATAGCAAACTGAAGCAGTTTGTCTTGCAGTATCTCCCTGTATTTCGCACCACCCATTCATTCTCCCTGCTGAGGAAAACCATCCATACACCGTGATGCTGCCACCCCAATACGTCAGTGTTGGGATGGTGTTTGTTGAGGAATGTTAGGTTTGTACCACACATAGCGTTTCAAATTTTGAGCCAGAAATCTAAATTTTTGTCTCATCTGACCACAAAATCTGATCCTACATTTTAGTTGGTCACTCTGTTGCTTTCTGGAAAACTCCAAAAGTGCTTTGATGTGTTTTTTTCTTGAGTAATGGCTTCTTTCTAGCCATCCTCCCATACAGGACAGTTGTATGCAGAGCTCTTTGTGTCACTGACTGGTGTACCTTCACTCCAATCTCACCCACTCAACTATGTAGGTCCTTTAAAATAACTGTTGGCCGCTCTTCCCTCACAAATCCCCTTATCCAAAAAATTTGAACTTTTTAATGAATCATAGTTAGATGCCAATTGTAAGCCAGTTGTGTTCACAGAACACAGTATTTTTTTCACAGAACATTTTTTACATAAAATATATTACTATCAATTTCACTATAATTCATTTTCAGGGTCAGTCTTTTAAATATATAATATATAATATATGTCATAGAACAAATAATTAAAGTGTCATTTGTAATCCAGACAAGTTTGGTGACTTTTAATACTTTTGCAAGGTAAATGTAATAAGAATTCTCTTTTCCTGACATTGTAGGTTACCGGTTTTTTAAGGCAATTAGGACATTTTTATTCTGAAAGACAAAAACAAATACACATAACCTCTTTATTCAGTTAGGAGCATGTTCAGCTTGGGCCACTTCTGTTTTCACTGAGGAAGGTTACTTCACAAAAGTCATGGTAGAAATACAGAAGGTTAAAAAAAGACAAAACACTTACTTAAGGCTAGTCATAGGACTGATTTATTTCACAGAGTTAGGAAAATAAAATAATTTCATTAGCATATTAGTGTTGAGACACTCATGATTCCACCAGAAAGAGATGACAAAATCATTAGCCTATGATACAAATGGCACCAACAATGGTATGGTACACGACACTTCAGGAAGGCACCAATAAACATTACCTGCACCAACACAAATGCACAGACACATACATAGGCAGACACACTCACACAAACACACACATATTAGAGTTCTCTTTGATGCTGAGCTGCTACATGGAAACTCTGTTAGCTCAATGATATCTGCACTGATTTTAAACCCCACAATACATCTACTTAAATTCAACATGAATTGGAAATTGTAACACATTTTACTTTTGACATATTTTTGAGTGACACATGGTAACAGGAACAGCTAACAGAGTCTCTGAGTGTTTTTGCTTGATATGATGATATGTAGGGGTCACGGGAGCGGGAGGTGAATACGTTACTAGTTTATTTTTCCCTGGCTGCTGGTGCGTGGTGAAGTAATCAAAACTCAGAAGACTCAGAATATGATGAGTCATGCTTAATGTGACCAGGGACATAAACTAACAAGCTAAAAGAGGTCAATGTTGATTTTAAGTTGACTTTACAAGTACAATAACTATTCAATGCTGTAGCACAAATGCACATCTAGGGCAAATGCACTTGTGAAGATATTTCAAAATTTCATGTCCAAACAAGATTTCAAACAACACATGTCCACCGTGTCATGCTCATTACATTTGCCAACATGTGAAACATGAAGCATTTTAGGCAAACCCATGTTTACTCATTGTGTAATTAAAGACTCACTCTGTGATATTAGCTCAGCAATGTGCTGGTCACAACTTCTAGAAAGCTGAAAGAGAAGCTTGCGATTCAGAGCTCCAGGTCAAAGAATTAATTGTCTGAACCATGAAGTTGGTTTTTAAACAACCCCTCACATTCATTTATGAAGGAAAGGGAAAGCACCAACTTGACAGTGACAAAATGTATTTATATGTGATCAAAGTGATGCCCATAAAAATGTTACTGTATTTTCTGTAACTTCATTTGCCATTTCTAAATGTTTAATAATAAATATTACTAATAAGTTATTAAGCATGATGTAATCACAAACCGAATGAAGCGAGGCCAATTGAAGATAATTAACATTTTTTCTCTGTGGTGTCTTCTAGGTAGACACAATTAAGTGAGATCTCCTAATGGTTGGGTCTTTAAGAGGTGGACAGAAGGCCCTACATTTTAGCTTTACTACCAACATTATTAGGAAGTGGAAGTATAATAAACCAACAGACGTGTCTCAAAGCCAAGACTGCATTTCTCAGCTATTACAACACTGAATGATGTTCCAGAGTTTGTAATGAAATGTAAATTTTACTAGAATTTCTGTAAAGATAAATTTTAAACATATTGTACAGTGTCATTATAGCCTCCTCGGCCATCTCAAATATGTGTGAATGAGCACAGAAGAGGAGACTTTGCTAGCAGGATCAACCTTCACTTTGAGACACATCTAATCACATTTGATTTAGAGTGGGTGAGATCACCTTTGTGAGAAAAACTTCAGGTCTACAAAGCTAGAATGGCCTAAAGATGTTTATATGCATCAGTGTTAGCTTAGTGCTGACAAACCATTAGAAATCCCACAAGGGGGCAAGTTTGAAATTAGTGTCATCATAAAAGTGGATTTTATTTTTCTCATTTCTTGATCGGGTTTTGACATTTATGGCTGAAACTGAGGGCCTAGCTGGAACAGTCACAGTTCAGTGGGTTTTACAAACATTTCCATTGAGGAAGATCTTGCAGATTATGGCTAGAATATTTTCAGTGTATTTGCCTTCAATTTTGTCTGTATTATGCAATACTTTTGAGCATTTGAGCTAGCTAACTGTTGCCTTTAATGGTTTTCTTGTGTGTTATGTGAGAGGCATACACCCTCACATGTTACATCACAATAAGTGTCACATTACATCACAACAAGACCTGACCTTTCATTATAAACCTAATATCAGCTTTTCACATTTACATTTAACAACAAGGAAATTCAAGACTGCTCACTGTTTCAGGAATAAAAAAAACACACAGCTACAGTGTTCTCAGTACATTCAGTTCTAAGTTGTTTTTTATATTTCTGAAGTAGGTATCTACAGTTTGCAGAATATTGCACAGAGGCAGAGTTAACAAGGAGACAGGATTCAGACCAACATAATACAGACTGTTAGGAGGAGATGACTCATAAAAGAAGTTAGAAGTGTTCATTCATTCAAAATCAAGTGGAATGTATGGTTAAAGGCACATGTGCAACATAAGTGAAAAATAAATACAAAATATATTAAAAATTTATTAACCAAACGGGTTACAAATGTAAAAGCAAAACAACCACGATTAAATAAATCACAGTGGTGGAAAAATGCTGATATACTAAAGCATACATTGCTGTTATTTCACTGAGAATACCATTAGTTGCATTTCAAAGTTCAACTCAAAATGCAACTCAAGTTGTATTCAAGAGAATGTACTGGCATTTAGAAATAATAAAAAAGCTAAATTCCCACCACAGGTAAACAAAACATTGTTATCAATGTAAAATAGCAAAGGCCTCAGAAGTTAATACATTTTGTTAAAAGTGCCACTGCCTCTGCTGTCTAATACTCATTAATAGTAAACTCTCCCTTCTTTTATGTAATGATCTGTAGGCTAAAAGTCTCTTTTAAAATAAAATAGCTCTGCTTTTAATCCTAAACTCCTGGTCCCATATTTTATAATAAAACATTTAAAAAACAATACATTAGCATACTTTGCCAGTATATTACCCTCCCTTCCTCTGTGCGTTTGGTGTGTGTGAGTGTTAGAGAGAGAGAGATGTGCATGGATGGTAATTTAATTAAGAATTAATCGTCCTCCATGATGAAACTACTACTGAATTACCCAGTAGATTGGCACGTTAAAGGAATACTCCAGCGTTTTTCAATCTAACCAATATCTGCTGTGTCTGTAGCACATGGTCAATTACCACGAAGAGTCATTTTTTGACACATTGATTTGTATTTAGAAATGAAATCTGTAGACTTAAAACACACTTACAATAGTTAACAATAATTAAAGCTAATGGGCAGTTAAATATCCATTAGCTTCTATTAGAAGTTTCCTTTGAGTGGGGATGAGCATTTCAGTCAAACTTGTTATTTGAATTTGTGAATACCTTTTGAATACCACCCCCCAAAGAAAAAACAACAACAACAACAACAAACAAACAAACAAAAACATTTAGGACTACTACTCAGGCCACCTGAGATAATGCCACTCAGCATCTTACTACATTAAACCCAGGCCACAAATATCCCCAATAAGTGATACTGGCATTAAATTTACACAGAGGTAGGCAGCCAATCTGGTATCTTTACGATAAACAAACAAATGCTATTAGTCTGTTTTCACCTGAGCTAACATTACTAGTCACATCGTATTGTGCCTTGCACCTTTCAACTCAACACAATTAATGCAGAGTTAATTAACTGATCCCAAATGTGATTAATTCGTTAAATGATGCTGAAGGTTTTATTCAATACAAGTATTCAAATAAAGCTGAGCTTCTTGTTTACTGGGCTTTTCTGTAAAGCTTCCTATGTGCTATAGCAGCGCTCTGTACTATCTGCTATCCAGGGCTGCAGTATGCTACTTTCTTTGGACTAAACAGATAAAAAAACTGACTGACATAAGACTCATCTCCCTCTTGGGGACTACAGAGTTCAGACATCTCATTGTTCTGCAATATGAGAATGTGTAACGTTACAGAGAAACTAATTTGCAAATAAAAAATTCCTAATTTAATATTTGACCTTTTTTTAAACTTTCATGATTTTCAATATTTGAAAGTTTGGATTTGAGTTCTGCTCTTTTTCCTCACAATTATAATAGGAACTAACAGTTGCTTCGTTCAATCCCATTGGATTCTATTGTAAGTGTGAGTCAACAGTTTTCTATTCATTTTTAAGTACACAGAGCTGCTTTTTCAAAATTGCTGTTCAAGCAAATCTAGCATACAGTACTGATACAGTGGATAGAGATTAGGCTGAACAATGCTGGAGTTTTCCTTTAAAACAGAAAAATTGCCACAACATTAGCAGAGTAAACGGGTATTGCTACACTATTGATGTACCACTGTTAAAAACACTTGTGTGCAAATTTCGAGAGAGGAGCTACAGTAGGAGATGCACTGATGCTACCAGGTGATCAGAGACATAAATGAACACCTATAAGCACTCCATCTTTTGGCACAGTGATTGCGTCTCAAATTTTCCACCTTAATCTCTCTCCTCTCTCTGGATATCTTCTCTCTTCTCTTTCAATTCTCTCACTCTGTCTTCCAGACTTTGTTGAGAACCTTCACCACCTCTTCATAGATGATAAAAACGATGGCTACGTCCAAGCATACGCGGCCCAGCCGAGGAACTGTGCCCTTGTAGAACCTAAACACAAACAGAGACACTTAAATTTAGACCACTTTTTAGTGCAGTGGTAACTACTCAAAGCTTTTGAGTAGCAGCGCATACACTAAAACCGCTTACAATCTTGCCAGTGTAGTATGTTTGTAGTGGACTGGAGTGGCCACAAAAATGGTTTCGCAATTTATAACTTATACACATGCTCTTTTTCTCTTTTATTCTCTCTTTTCCTTCTGACTGTGTAATCTTTGTTTACAGGCCAGGGACAAACCACATAAGAGAAAAAAACCTTTGATCTTCCTTTAGTCGTTATTAAAAGGTTTTATAGCACTGTGCAAAACAATCTGTTTAAACATTTAAGAGCCAAGAACAGAGAACAGTCAAATCACAGACACAAGCCCAAAATTGTCGTACGCCATTGGAGGGCAGCGTTTCAAAAGAAAAACCATTAAAGGGGCACTCCAACCTAAAACCAGCATATAAGATTTTATTTGCTGCATTATTTGTTGTGCGGCCCAGCATTGCATCTCTTAGCCTTATCGTTTAGACAGCATTCACAATTTCGCATTTTTTTGCATCCATCAAAGTTCTCTCACTACAACACCCAGCATGCACTGTGTAAATACATCATACAACTATTGTGAATCCCCTCGCAGTGACAAATAAATGCACTGATTTAGATGCTAATAAAATAGAAGCAATATTCCACTTCCTAGCAGTAACACTGTCTTCTTTCTGTGTTAGCCAGCTAGCAAAAAAAAAAAATCCTCAAGTATCTGCCCCAAAGATTTTTCAAAAGTTCATCCCACCTTCAAGATACACCATCAGAAGGGAGGTTTCCTAATCATGAAACTGGAAAATCTCACACTCAAGCCTGTAGGAGGTGAGTAGGCATGTTTACAAGAAATGAATGATGGTTTTGCATTTTGGCCCAAGTGCCCCTTTAAGAGAAGAGAACAGTCAACACACACACACACACCCACCCACCCACACAGAAACTTACGCAGTTGGTCCCTCATGTTTCATGATCTGCACAGCACAGTCTACAGTGTTTTTATACTTATGAGCCTCCAAACCCTGCAAAAAAAAAATACACATACCATGGTTAAAATTTAGGAATATCTTGCACACCACAACAGCACTCACTCACTCTGTTCTACAACACTCGCCTGCATTCTGGTCTTGATCACATCTAGAGGCGTGTTTCCAAACACACTAGCAGCACCAGCTACAGCACCAAACACACCCGTCACTATAGGGTTCATAGGCCTGTTGGGGTTGTCACCTAGATCACGCAGGGAAAAGGCAGATGAAAGAACTGTAATGTTAGAAGAATTCTTACTTTGGAGGTCATGAGACTTGCTTTATCAACCACATGCCAACAGAGGGCAGCATTCCAAATGAAATGATAACTTCCACCAGTACATCTCTCACAACACAGCATTAACCCCTTTGTGCCCAATTTTTTCCCTGCGATTTTATGCATACTGAAGTATTGGTGAGCTCCAAATTGGTAAAAAAGGAAAAAAAGTCATAAGATCTTGACAGTGACAGTTTATTCTCTCTTTATCCTATAAAACTATTATTATTCATGAGTCAGTCTTTAAAAACATCAAATAACACCTTACCAGGTTTTTATAAAAGCTTTAATTACAAATGCTACCAGTATTTCACACATATGCTACATAAATACACCCACCTTTGTACCAGTTCTTCAGTGAAGTCATGACAAAAAATCGGATGGCCTGATTGGAGCCCTGCTTAAGCACTGTTGCTGTGAGACCCTGATATGTTCCCCTAATTCCTGAAAGTGGGGAAAAAGAATGCAGCCAAAAGTGAGAGAGAGAGTCATCTACCAGAGAACAGAGAAACTCTTGACCCCTATTGAACTAGTCTTATTGATCTTAATCAATAAAGGGGCATGTTTAAAAGTGCCTTATCTGTGTCCACTTTCAGCATAAGCTTTGGACTTCTGACCATCACACCTTTATGAGCTTCTTGGGCATCCCATTTCAAAACCATGGGTATTACGATGGATTTGCACTCACACCTTTGTGGCTATAACAGCCTCTTCTAGGAAGGCTTTCCACAAGACTTTGGAATGTCTGTGGGAATTGGTGCCCATTCAGTCAAAAGAGCATTTTTAGGACCGGCACTGATGCTGGAGGAGAAGGCCTGGCTCACAGTTGATGTTCCAATTCAGAACAAAGGTGTTCAGTGGGGTTGAGGTAAGGGCTCTGTGCAGGCCAGATGAAGGTCCTCCACACCAAACTCATCAAATGTCTTTAAAACCTGACATATAACTGTCTAAATTGGCTTTGTATGCTGTTGCGTAAACTTTTCCTTTCACTGCAACTGATGGTACCCTAAAAATAAATCCAGACAATTATCCCTACTTCCCAAACTTTGCTGTTGGCACTATGCATTCTGGTAGGTAGCATTCTCCTGGCATCCACCAAAACCAGATTTGTCCCTTGGACTGTCAGATCACTCTAGAGAACACGTTTCCACTCCTCCAAAGTCTAGGGCCGGCAGGCTTAATACCACTCCAGCTGATGCTTGGCATTGTGCATAGTGATTATAGGTTTGTGTGCAGCTGCTTTGCCATGGAAACCCATTTCATGAAGCTCCCAATGCACAGTTCTTGTGCTGATGTTGCTTCCAGAGGCAGGTTAGAACTCTGTAGTGAGTCATTTAACAGAGAACAGACAATTTTCAGGTGCTACATGCTCCAGTGCTTGGTGGCCCCAGACTAAGAGTTTGCATGGTCTACCACTTTGTGGCTAAGTTGCTGTTGCTCCTAGATGCATCAATTTCAGAATAATGGCAGATCTAGAAGAGCAGAAATTTGGTGAAATGAAATGACTGGTAAAAGTGGCATCCAATGACAATGGCACATTTAAAGTCACTGACCTTTTCAGCATGACTTATTCTGCTGCCAACATTTGTCTATGAAGATTGCATGGCTATGAGCTTGATTTTATACGCTTGTTAGCAATGGCTAAAGCACCTGAGCTCAATAATTAGAACGGTCCACATATTTTTGGCCATTTAGTGTACTACTGAACAATACAACAGTGGACAGCTCTGCACTACCTCTGCTAAACAGCAGGGAGCACTGCCGTTATAAAATCATAAGAACACAGCCTTCAGTACCTTGAGTTCTAACGATCTCTCGCACTCCATGAAAGAAGCCCCGATATTTGGGATTGGCTGAGGTCTGGTCATGGATGAATTTAACCTGGTAAAGAAGAATAGAAAAGTAGATCTGACTGTAGATCAGACAGTACAGCTGCTGAAATAAATAGATAACAATCCTTTTTTATTACAGAAGTGTGTTTAGTTTTGGATCTAGTCACCATGAGTTACACAATGACGTCTGGGAAGGATTCAGTTGAGTCAGCCATGAAGGTATGGCTGTTCACACCAAGAAAAAAAAACTGACTACTACTCTGCTTTGCTATGTGTCATCAATTATTAGAAGAAAACAACTTGAACTGTTTCTATTTTTCAAAGAAAACAGTAATCTGAAAATCAAGGCTAGGTGACTTGTAATCAGCAATCAGTTCCTGCTGATATGCTGTTCCCTGTTTAGGCTACTTTATATTACAGAAAGATATTTAAGAAAATATCTGTATATAACAGCTTGAAAAGCCCAGTTAAATTACTTTTAAAACAAGAAAAGTACTGTGTCATATTGGGAAATAAAAACATAAAATGTGGCCTGTGCAAAAGGAACAGGTTTTATTCTATGTTTTATTTTTTCCAATATGTAAACCTGACAAATAAATAGAAATTGTGCACTCAAATTTGCAGGAAACTTTACATCATATTTACATACATTTTTTTACATATTTAAATAAACCAGCTTCAAGCTTTTGCACACAACTGTATGTAAAATGTTTCGGGTGACGGATGATAAAGAAATCCTTGTACAACTGTTAAGTGTTGCTGACAGAGCTTTGAAACATCATTTACCTTGACTGTTTCCATAGGACAGACAACCAGCACTGCCTCCATGACCCCCGCTCCCAGGCCACAGACTAAACCACGCGTGCTGTCCAATCTCCCAGCCTCATCACGCATCTGATTACTCAAAATCTCAAACACACCAAACCTACGAGAGAGAGAGAGACAGAGAGAGAGTGAAGAGTTTCAAATTATAAATATAGAATCATCCATTAATTAGAAACACCTGCATTCCCCCTAAGTGGAAACTTTAGGCTTACCAAACAACAGGCGGAGAGGGGTTGGGGTGGTAGTGCAATTGCACTGTGGCCCATGGCGCAGGTGGGCCCATGGTGACCAGGCCCCGTAAATGTTTATTATTATATAGATCCACATAGATACAGTATAGACACAATTGTACACCTATGGCTTACAGAAAGATCCAAATTCATAACATATCTCACCACTTATCATCAACACTATACAGACCTTCACAACTTGCAACAGGATATATATATATATACATTATTTTCAAATCTTAAAGAGGGAGTCTAGCAAACACTTTTCTGAGGCCCATAAGATCCCAGTTATGCTACTGCTTATATCACTGTCAGAACAAAACCTCATATTTTCTAAATGGTAACTTCACATCCAGGCCAAGATCATCCAATGGGTTTTATGGGTATAGGCCCAGGGGCCCCAGCTAGCAATCATGAAAAAATCTAAACAGCTATTTTGACTTACGGTGGAAATTTTTCTAGCTGCACAGTGAAAAAAGTAACTCATCTGTCATGTTACAGCCGATTGTAATCCTGATGCTTTCCATGTCTTTCCTAAATGTTCGCTTCATTTTCTCCTCCAATCCCTGCTTAGTAACCTCTCCACTATCCACCTTTACCTCAGTCAAAGTTTCAGGTTTTACAGAAGTGAGCTGGTGAGAATGTACTAAATTTGAAGCTTCAGAAGATGTGCCATGATGGATCTGTAAAAGCAAGACCTAATACTTTGACAGAGTAGAGGACACTTATTCAAGCCAAATATAAAATGACAAGTTAAAGAAAAAAGTTGCACCATCTCTGTCAGCAGTGATCTGCAAACTGTCATCAGAGGTAAGATATAAATGAATGTTGTGGCACAGAATGCTTGATGCTTTGGATTTTTAAGTTTTTCCATCTGTATGTACATTTCAGCTGTGTGATTTCAACTGATGTTATTTTCATCAGGGTAAATGTGTTAATGTGTGAAGAGTGGATGCATGCCTTATAGTGAAGAGTTGCATTGGTTGTTGGGTTTATGTTAAACTTGCAAGTAATCTTGCTATTATTTTTGTCTCAGTGGTTTATATTGGTGGACTTATAGCAGTGCTTATACTGCGGTTCATATGCTGCCAGCATGGTGCTGCACAGGCCTTGTGTAACCTGCTGTAATATATAAAAAAAATCCCTGACCACCCAAAAAAGGTAGCCATGAAATACAACAGCACTACCAAGGATGCATGAGTAAAAGGGGCTCTACATATACAGGTGGTGTTATAAAAGAATGGATGTTACTGCTAGCTATGTTTCTATGACTTGAATAGACAGAAAGTGACCACTGGGTAACAGTTATGTTAAAGCTGTGCAGGCAGGAGGAGCAACATCAGCCTGATTGGTGAGGATATTAATTAAGTATGCCCTACCCAAGATTAGTACTGCCCAGTCCCAGTCAAGAGAGGGAACGTGGACAAAATACATCAGCCATTTAGTGGACAATTATTCAGTGTAAATACTTTGTATACTGTATATGAACATTATTAAGCAATGGTCAAGATTAAAGAAAACACATATTTAGGTTCATTGGGGCCTTAATAACATCACCAGTCTAGTCAAGTAAGGATTACAGCAGGCTCTTAAAATTTCCAGTCCATTCTAGTCCTCTCTACCACAAACTGGGTACACACTTCAGCTTTTCATCTGCTGTTACAAACTGAGAACTGAGATTGAGGTCTGGTGATTTTGCTGGTCAGCCAAAGTGTTCCAGCTTTCCACTGTGCCTGCTGAATGAGCCATCCTACAATTGTCACTCTGCAATGTGGGAATGTCAATGTTGTGTTCTCCTCAGATGTGAAGCACAAGGTTAATGGAAGAGTAGGCTACTATGGACAGGAGACTCTCAAGAGACTGGAGTAGTCCTTACCTGACAAGATTAGCACTGTCATTAAGGCAATTGGATGATTAACCAGGTTTTAGAGAAGAAATGGTGAATGCTAATTTGTTGTCCAGGGAGTTTTAGTTTAAGAGCAATTTCACAACTAGCTTGTTTGGTGCAGACAGATTTGTACTTTGTCTTTAGTTTGGTCCATTTTAACGGGTGTGAACACTCCACACATACTCAAGTGTGCACTAAACAAGGGAACTGTGGTCCGCCAAACAGTATGTGTTTTGGTTCGCCATAAAAGTGAACCCTCAGTTCGCTGCTGGTGGGAAGGCATTTTTAAAATGATCTGCTCCAAACGAGGGAATTCAACATTGGAGCATGCTTTCCTGTACTTCTAACAGCACATCAGCTCTGTACGTTTCCATAATCTGCTGTTTTAATATTTGACTCTTGGTAGACACTCATATTGTTTTTACAGCACAAGCTGCTGCTAATAACAGCAGACGAGTAATAAAATAACAATGAAGGAATGCATTCGTTTTTGGCACATGGACTGCAGAGCATGTTTTTGGCCGAGCATCAGTGACCTGATTGGTTAAATTTAAACTGACAAATCAATCATAAAGAAGCAGAGATCAAGTAAGGTTTATTATTACTGCTTTGATTGTGATTCATATATGTTAATTGTCTCTATTTTAAAAACAGTGTTATAGGGCAATATATTTAAATCAAGAATATATATAAGTTATAGATCTGGATTTTATACAGAGATGGGCTGGTGAAAGTTACAAGATTTTTTTGGCTTCCAACATAGTACAGTACAAGTACAGATAGCTTGTATACCAGCCAAATTTCAGAAAGCGAATTAGATGTAAAAACAGCCTTAGACACTCTGGACTCTCCCAAGTCTCACAGAATACAGGAAGAAAAGGGATGTATTTCCACTGGAATATCATCTCACTTCTTACTCAGTCACTAACGCTGACACACACTCCAACCACCAGCTCTGGCGACACATCCTTCCCTGGCTGCCAGACAGACTCGCTCCATCAGCCCTGCAGAATATTTACCACCTGCCAAGACGACACAGGCTTCCTCCTTAATCAGCTGGCGTCGGCAGTAACCCGGGCAACCGCTGGCAAGAGAGCACAGGGGACCAGTAGCCAGATCCAGGAACTTAAGGAGGGAGATTTTTTTGTTTACCTGTTTTTTTCCTCCCCTTATCGGTGAAAAGACAAGGCTTTAGTATGGCCGGGTGGAGACGGAGAGCTATTTACAGCTCAGAATTGAGTTATTGGCTCAAAAAAAGAAACGCTCGAGATGCAAACACACATGCTGCCGTCTGTCTGATGAACATCTCTGACATCTCTCCACCTGAGCGCCCACACACATCTTGAATCACTCCATCTCTCTCTACTGTTCTCTCTCTCTTTCTTTCTTTTTCTCTCTATCTCGGCTATTTCAACATCTCTCTCCCTCTGCTTCTCTCACTACCTTTATCTCTCTCTCCACCTCTGCCTGTCTCACCATTTACCTCTCTCTCTCTCACACATTTCTCTCTGTTATACCATCTCTCTCTTATACTGTCTCTCTACCTCTGTTATTCCGTTTCTCCCTCTCTCTCCCTTTCTCTCTCTCTTTCTCTCTCTGGCCATTTATCTTTCTCTTTATTAGATCTGAGCAGCTCTTTGGCAGGACAAGGCACCACTCATACTTCCAATGCATATTCTCTTTCTCTTGGCGTCTCTCGCTCTGCCTTTACATCCTTAACAAACCTTGAAAACACGTTTCTTATGAACACTAAATGACAGTGTGAGCCTTTTTTAGAATGACATGGTCATTCACAAACATCACTTGAGAAAAAATGAAAAAGAATTAAAGGGTGGGCCAGAATAAACGACAGTGGGACAGGATGTGGGCCCGGAGCCACCTGCTCTTAGATGAGTCACACTCGTATTTATCGTCACAGCAAGTACCTAACGACACTGACTCCATTAGAGGGGTTGCTGCAAGGTCAATCCTTCTTCCTCTCTTTCCCTCCCCCCCTTCTATTTTTTTCTATCTCTCTCTGTCCATCCCAGCACAAACCCAATCAGCTAATGAAAAGTGGGGGAGAGACAGAGCGAAGGAGGAAGGGACGCTGGGGGACAATCAATCAGAGTAATCAGAAAGAGGGGACGGTTAGAGACAGTATGGCTGAAGACACAGAATATGACAGTAGAGAAACAATCAGTTCACCTAAATTCATCCAGGTCAAAGAAATTTCTGGGGAACTACTATTTTCTCTACAAATAAGTGCTATTGATGTATTGATATTGCTAGATATATTCCTAATTTTCACATTTATAAATGTTTTTGCATTGACATCTGCAGCCACGTACATGAAAAATATCAGATACTGGCAGAATTCCATATTAGTGCATCTCTAAAAAATAGATGGGTATTGGCAACATATGCAACATATGCTTGTCTTCTTCAGTCCTGTTGGAAAAGCAATTCAGGTGGTTTCTAAGGAACAAGCTTAACAGAATGTTCAAGAGCGTCTAAAACTGCATCAAAATATTTTAAAGATATTTTTATAATGTGGAAAATAATAGCAAATAAGAATAATTCTTCTAATGCTATGTGTCCAAACTTTTGACTGGTACTGAATCACAGTATCACAGTATCAGGTGATATTTCAGGGTGCACTGATAAAGTTGATAAAATGAACTCAAGCTTCCTGAGCGACGAGGCTCTATAGTAAAAGAGTGTCTTATAAATCTGACATAGTATGCCAACCTTACACAGTAGTCTTGGTGGTCTTAGAAAAAATAATGATGAACTACAGTTTGATTGCCCTAACCATGTTCCATATACAAATGCATTCATTCATAGCTACTGCTGCTAGGTTGAAAAAAAAAATCTCAACCTAATGAACAGCTGCAGTGATCTTTGTTTAGAGTCAGTAAATAATGTTTCCAATTTAAAATGTTATGGAGTTGGGAACCGTTCATGAATTTTTATGACCTATTTTGAATTCTTTAGAGTCATATTGGCTTTTTAAAAAGCATGGATGCTTTTACATATGACGCGAGTAAGCTCACCTCACTAATGTGAGTTATGCCATAAAACTGCAACATAGATCAGCTAAAAAATAAAATAATAAACTGGCTGATTGCATGTTTGGAGCTGATGGCGGTCGATTCTGATCACGCATCCCAGTGAGAGTAACAGTTGCTGCATGTTCCAGCTAATGAGAGTATATATCAAAAACAGTCGTATGCAAATGTATGTTTTGATCCAACGCAAGAGAGAGAGAGAAGGACAGAGAGATGATAAATTAAGATAAAAACCTTTGTTACTCACAAGTTTCAGAACATAAGCTTACATTATTTGTCTGGTTCAGTCTCAGTTCACATACAGAGTGACCTGCACAGCTAGTTATCATATAGTGGACTGAAAAATTAGCCTACTGACCCCAGATTCACTTTGGAGAATGAACATGTGTTAAGCAGGTTTAATTGAAATTAGGTAGTGTGAAAATAGCAACAACAAATGTGCCACCAATATTAGCTCTATTCTAACAGTTAGATCTTTCACGTGCAAAACAAATATCATTTGAAATTAAGAATGCACTCTAAGTGTTTCTCATGTTGAACAGAATGTAAATAGAAAGGTCAGTTAGAACCTAAGACCAACGGCTAGTATACCGTCTACATGTCATAACTGTCTAATTCACACACAGTGCATCAGGAAGGCATGTATGTGTGTGTGTGTGTGTGTGTGAGAGTGCGTGGTTGTGTGTGTGTGTGTGTGAGGTCAGAACTGCTGTCTCTTTAGGTGTCACTGAAGCCTCAGAGTAGCAGAGAGCACTGCTCTGACTGTCAACAAAGGACACGCACTGCTGGACCTGTCTATTCATCTGACACACACACACAAACACACACACACACACACACACACACACACTCAGATCTTTGGAGGACTGATTGTCCAAGCCTGTCATAAATTTGAAAAGGGCTTTGGCATAATAAAGATTTTCTGTGCGCTTGTATTTGTGTGTGTGTGTGTGTGTGTGTGTGTGTGTGTGTGTGTTTGAGTATGCTTAGGTCTTTGTTCCATGAACAAAAACAAGCTGCATAATAAATGTCAAGTCTCCAAAATAGAAAAATCATTAAAGCAGCCACTATGAAAAAGAAAATATTTACGTCTGTTTAGTGTGTGTATGTTTGTGTGTGTGTGAGTGTGGTGTACACACCTGACTGCTGATTTGGGTATAGATCCATACAGTAGCGAGCTGAGGCCTCTGTATAAGCCCTTTACTCCATGGCCTCGAACCGTCTGTGTAACACAGTCCCCTGTAGATAAAACATTAAAACATTAGAGGAACATGTACAAGACCTACAAAGCCACAACTCAACACTGATTGCAGCAACATACTGTTGTTAATTAAAATTCATTAAGAGTTATTACTTACTTTGTTTTGCTTATTCAAAAGTTATTTTACCTAATTTCACATTTAATACATATTCAATTAACCAAGTTAATAACGCATAAACATAACAAATGAGCTTTTTTTGTTTTTTAAAACCATTAATGAATTTCTCTAGTTTGACCCTTTGAACCGTCAATAACAGTGTAGGCTGTCCAGATGCTGTATGCTGATATGACAGATATATCTGAGATTGTAGTAAATATGCATTTTCTTGCACATTTTAGTGCCTAATTTCTATTCATTTGCTGAGTTTAACATATTGGGTAAAAATAAAATGTAAAATGTGCCCGTATCTTTGCACAGGGCACATTTTATGTTTCATTTTTTTCCCCCAATAAGCTAAATTCAGCAAATAAACAGTACTTGTGTGTTAAACGTGCAGTAGTGTGTTCTCTGTATAGGATGTGTAAAGTTTTTTTTACTTAGGAAATCACCAACACATATATTTGCATATGACTGTATATGATACATACTCTCTTTAGTTGGAACATGCTGCCACTGTTGCTCTAACTGGGATGCATTCACTCTATAGTAATCACATGATTTTCATGTTCAGGTTGAACTCTGAATTCACACTAAGAAAATAACATTACTGAATTAGTGTACTGAAAGTAACTAAAAGTAGTAAATATATTCTGTTTATTAAATGGAAAAAACATTTATCTTATTTGATGAATACGATAAATGTGATTAATCATGATCAAGTAAAATAATACAATTAATCACAATTAAATATTTTTAGTCATTAGACTAGAAGCTAAATATACAGTTACACAAATAGCTACATTTACATTAAATTTACTTTTCGTATGAACAGCTTCAAGTATTCACTTTTTCCATTTTTTCAATGTTAAGAAACTGCAAAACAAATTGGCAAAAATATAAAGAAAATGTTTTTCTTTTGCGCTAAACAAGACCAGAAAACTTCATATTCTAATGACATATTTCCTTTTCTATGTACAAACAAAAATTATGGTATTGAGTAAAAGTTTAGAATCTGCTCTTCAGACAGAATTTCTCTGCTCATTTCAGTTAGCAAAATGAGAAATTCATATAAAATTAATCCATGCCTGTGATAACTGTGACTTCTAAGGGTTTAACATGCAGCAAATGTGATTTATAATCAGTGTATAACAACCCCATATTTAAGGTTTAATAAAGTGCAATGGCAGCTGTCTGGTAAGCCCAACAGAAGGCTTATTAAAAATGTGCTCAGAGCTTCAGCCAAGAAGAAATTAGGGAAGTGAACGAGAGTGAGAAGAGATCATGAGAGAGGTGATAAGTTTGTTTACTGTGCGGGAGAGAGTGGCAGCAGGCTAGAATCTGTTATGGACCACAGAGTTCTACTAATTAACTCCGAGGAGGAATCTCCATCCTGTGTGTGTGTATGTGTGTGTGTGTGTGTTTGCTCAGGCTCACATGTGTATACTCACCGATGCCTCTGTAGCGTGGAGGGTTGGCTTTTTCATCCAGCTGAAGTTGAGTCTTCACATACTCTGTGGGGAAAGTGATGCAGATTTCGATGCCACCTGCAATTCCACCTACAAACAGAGCAGCAGAAAAACATCAGCAACAGCTTCTTTATGATTTCAGAGCAATGATAACCCTGTAGTAGTGTACAGTATATGGCGCTTTTGTAATTTTGCATTTTTTGCTTAAACACAGGTTTAAACTTGTTGCACACCCAGCCAGAGACACACACACACATTTTACCACTTATCATATGATCTTCACAATAACTCCAATTAACACTGGATTTTAAGTGCATACCATGCAGCCCTACTAGTCTCAGTAAAATAACGAGTTATAATTGACCTATCCATGCCATGCGCACAAACACATTTTCTCATAGCTACTGTTGCTAGATTAGATATTTTACAGAACATGGAGAGAAAATCCTATACAGCCTAAAGAGAAATTGCAGTGATCTTTGTAGTATATAAGTAGTTGAGTGTCCAGTTTAAATTGTTATTGAGCTGGACTGTGCTGTTGTAGCTAATCAAAATTATGCGGATTGGATAATAACAAATTGTTTTCTCATAACTTTGTTATGCTTTCAGAGTTATAAAAAAAGTGTACACTCAAATACAAATGGTCTGAATTATTTGTTTGCTTAATATGCTTAATTGATGCTTAAGAATACAAAATACTTGATACTTTGCACAATGAAATATCTTCAGCACAAAGTCTTTTGGCAATATTGTGTAATACATTTTATTCAAATGGCGATGACACACTTCTAATAACTTTAATGCATTACTTTTTTCAGTGTAGTCTCATTAGCTCATATGGCTATTTCTGCAGTCTTGATGCACGGCATGAATCATTAGCACGCACACACACACACACACACAAACACAGACTCCTTGGAAAAGTGCTTCCACAGGGCTAGCTTAAATTCCCCCAGGTCCTGTTTCACTGTCTTTAATAGATTGTGTGGAGTCACGCAACAGAGCTCATAAGAGAGAAGAGATGGAAACCAGTCAGGAAATCTGACCATAACACAGACGAAAAATGATGATAACTTTGCTAGGTACATGAATGACATGGGCTGGAATAGCTTTGCACAGTACTGCAACACCTCATGTATCACAAACACAGGTTTGTATACCTGATTTAATTTAATGCAGCGCTGCTAAGCCAAACCAGGTATTGGATGATAACTACAAATTACACTGGGCTACCTTGAGGAGCGGTGTGGAAATGGTTAAATGAACACATTAACATACAGTGGGGTCCATATATCTGAGCCCAGAGGTGAAAATGCTTCTATTTTGCATTCTTTTCAAATTTAATACAAAGTTTTTCATTACAAATGATATTATCAGTATAACTATTTGAGTGAAAGGTAGAATCTTTGAATGTTCACATGAATTTCAGAATTTCTTTTGGTATTTGGTATGTCCTCCTATTACTTTAATCACAGCGTGCGCTCAAGCTGGCATGGACTCTGTAAGTTTGTGCAAAAGCCTCTAGTCAGTATATTAAATCCACCTCAGAGTCCTCTGAACATGGAAGAAATTCCTTCAATGGAAGAAACAAGACTAATGAAAAAGTAAATTTTTTCAAGATACTATAACTTTGTGTTGTTTATTTCCAGGTTTAAGTGAAATAAAAAACAGATTTGCAATATGGGCTTAGATTTTTGGAACCCACTGTACACACAATCACTATTTATTGTATCAATATTATTTGCATTTATTCTAATATCAGTTTTTTATGTCTATATGTAAAATCTATATGTAATTTTGTAAACCTAGCCCTAAATCTAAACCTTACTTTAACTTCAGTAAAAGAAAAGGTTCTGCCCATTCAGTTTTAACCAATGGAACATAGTTTTTGTTTTAAAAAAAAAAAAAAACAAATTCAACGTCCATTTTGTTGGTCCTCACACCTCACATTGTTAACTCTTGTTTTCCTGTAAATTCAGGACATTTTGCCTAGAAAATATATAAAAACAAACATTCACAAACACACACACACACACACACACACACACACACACAAAACCTTGTTTTTCTTGTGATCCAGCAGCAGTATGTCTATTGCTCATTCACAGAAATATGCTACATCAATCAAAGTACTCTATTTCTGCTTCTTTTCTTCATCCTTCAATCTCTCTTCTTGGATCTATGGGCTTTCACTAAATGTTACCTTTTAGTCTCTAGCTACATTCTTATTTAAACCAATAAATAAAAAGAATAAATCTTAGCTCTGAATTAGATAAATGTTAGTTGTAAGAGTGTCCAAATTTACTATCCCTTCCCTTCACACACAAACACACACACACACACCCTAAGTGTCCAATCTATCAGGCTGTGCGTTGCTGTACAGGAAAATGCCTTCTGGCCCATTTGCCCAGCACATCTATAAATCAGACCTAGAGCCTTTGACAAATTTGTTGGCACACAGCAGTCTATGTGTGCGTGTACACAACAAAAATTTACTGAAGCAGCACAACACCTGATACACTTCCATTTAAACGTGACTTATCAGCCGATGAGGAAAAGACGTTATCATAAAAAGGAACTGAAAAAGGTCAGAAAGGTTCTTACTGCAATACGTGATACTTTCTTGGCTACTATTAAAATAGAAATAATGTATGCTCTCTCTTTCTCAATGTGCATCACACTCAGCAGTCCAAAAGATTTCACCACATTAACCGCCCCCACTGACCACCGGTTAAAAATGCTCTTTTACTGATTCATTTAATGCAAACTATACCAAGGCACTAATATTCCTACACACTAGGGGTGGGAATCTCTAGGCACCTCACGATTCGATTACGATTCAGAGGGCTGCGATGCGATTATAAAACGATTATCGATGCATCTCGATGCATCTTTTTTTTCTATACATGATTTCAATTTTCTTACTGTCTGAGGACTTGGTAGTTTTAAAACAAAGTATTTGTAATGATCCACAATGCATTTACATCCAATATATTTTATTAATAAAACAAATGGAAGTGATGTGGCAAGTGAACTGGCAGGCTCTTATTCACTGCTCTTGTTTGGAGACGCTGCTGCCACTCATCTGTGATATGCGCTGTTACGGTTAAATAAGATAACCTAAGTGGTTATGGATGTCCACGGAGCACATTATATATTCTTCAGGGATTTCATAACTTCGGTTTTGGTTTCGTGATGGGGGGGGGCGCGAAAGACTGCAGGTCACCTAGCAACGAGGTTTCGCCGAGCTAGTAGCGAACGAAAAAGGAAAAGAGAAAGACAGACGAACATTTGGAGACGAATGGACTTATTTGCATTTATAAGCAGCGCAGTTGGTTTCCTGGTACGTTAAATCTGCAACGAGAGACTGTCAAACACTAACTAAAAGATGCGAAGCTGCGAAGATGGTGCCGCTTTTACATTCGGCGCCTCAGTCAGAATTTAAGGTGGAACCAGAAAGTTCAGCAAGAAGCTGGCGAATGAGAAGCGACTTCAGCCTCGTAAAACAGCGGAAAGCTGAGAGACATTTTACAAGAAACTATTCAATCTTTGAGGAAAAGTTTTGTGGCGGAGTTGGAAGAAAAGCGGCTATAGATAAAGCTTAAAGCAGAGCAGAGTAAATCTGTGTTTTCGTTTATATTTTTTAGCCTAAACTAGCACATTATCACATACTGGACATAAATGTTGTGGCTCCCAAGGTGGTTTGATTTTTGTTGAAAGGACAAAATGTCTCTTCTTATCATTTGTGTTGTGACTCCTGATCTAACCTGGCTTTAATGCAGAGGGAGCCTGTCGGATTTCTCGCTCATCAAGTTGTGTTTTTGTTATGTGCTGCCACAGACTGTCCGGGCGCCGCACTTACCCACTTCCAAGTTCCGCCCTTTGCGTTCCGTCAACGTTACGTTATAAATTAAAAATTTAGAAAATCGATTTTTGACATTTATGAATCGATTCAGAATCGTCTACGTCTGCATCGCGATGCATCTAAGAATCGATTTTTCCCGCACCCCTACTACACACAAACATAACTTAACTATAAATCCCTTAAAAGCTTATTACATACTAAGGCTCATTATTCAGTAACAGGGACCACAGGGACTTCAATGCAAACTATTCTTAGGTTATAGAAGTGTGTAACAAAAAATGTTATGCATATTGAGCGAGCCAAGGACCCAAATCACAAAAAACTGACTTTTCCTACTTTTTTCAAAATAAAAAAAGTTTTATGCAGCATGTAAACATTGTATGGTAATGTTTCAAAATGTACCATTTAATCCCCATATGAAAGCTAAGCTTAACAAAAATTGTTGATTTAACTGTTTTCTTGATATCACAAGGAAATTTATTCACATATAATCCACCCATTTAGCCTGCAGCAGTACAGGCCCACTCATTAACGCTTAAGTTACAAGGTGTGTTTCAGCCCAGCATGCTGTTGGAATCAAGCCCAAACCAGGTCAGCCAATCAGAACAGAGTTCACTTATGTACATCAGTCTTAAAGGTACAGGAACAAAAACAGCCTGTTTAATTCTAAGAGATGAAGAGAGGTAAGGAAACGGTCATGTAAAAATGAATGATGACTGTTTTCGGTGCATAAAGCCCCACAAATGTAGTATCTGGACCTTAAGGGAAAAGATAAAATGTAGGATATGAGATCTTTCACACCACATTCATTGTGCCTAGCCTAGATGAGACTGTTCTAAAAACCTAGCTGTGCCACTGAGGCCAGCAGAAATCATTCCTGGACAAAAAGCTGCCAATATTAGGGTGTTCGTGCTAGGACATCCGCAGTGTCAGGCTTCAGATATCAGACAAAATGGCTTCAGGTCTCAGCTCTCGTACAATTAGACATCAGGAAAAACAAGACTTTTGCAATTCCATTATGTCTTACTATATTAAGTACAGTTTAATGGCGAAATTAAAGATGACAACATACTATAACTACAAATTTGCGGCTAAAGTACTTTAAGTACACTGAAGCAAATAGCTCTATTTCTGTTACACAGACAAGTAAGCACATCCAACCACTATGGTTAAATTGGGCACAGAATCAATGCACTTCACAAGAAACATAATGCCAGGGTGGAGC